TCCAAAAAAAAAAAAAAAAAATACATCTAGGTTGCTTTGTTTTATTTTAACTGTCAACGAGTATCTGTATGTCTAAGCTGTAATTTAGCCACTTAGGGAAAATAATTATTTTAAGTAAATTTCGATTATAGGCTCTGCCTGTAGAGGAAACTTTAAACTTTGTAGATTTATAGTTAGTGATAACTTGTAGATTGTAAGCACTATTAGAAACCAAACTCTTAGTGTAAGATTATGTAAGATTATGCCTGGCATCTGATTGTTAGTAATGTCCATTAGAAAAGGGAATGATTAAGAATAATATCTAGGTAATAGATAGAATATCTACTATTAGTATTAGTAAGATGATAATTAAGGGAATTAACTCCAGAGAACATAAATTGTTTTCTTTTTTTTTTTTTTTTTGAGAGGTTTTTGCTACAGGGCGCGTTCACTCACCTTACAGAGAGAGAGAGACAGAAAGCAAGAAATCACTCCCCAGGGGGGATGGTCACGCCGCAATCCCTTCTCCTCCATTCTCCTCTCGGGATCTTGGGCACGCACGCACACGCGCCCGGCGTGAGTTTAAGCCACCAGGTCCGGGACTCGAGCCGTGGTCGACCACGTGGGAGTCCAGCGACATAGCCATTACGCTAACTGCTGGTCCCAACATGAATTGTTTTCTAAAGATAAAAATAGGAAACACCTTTTTTTGTATGTATATTTTCAAATGCAGAAGTGGGTGTGTGTGTGCATATTTATCATAAAATTTGGAAATAACAAAGACCCAAGAAAACATTTTTACAGAAATTCCATTACTCAGTGATAACCATATATGTAGATTTCTAAGATACATCTAAACATTTATATTTAAACTTCATAAGTGGTATCATGTTATTAATGTGCTCTTTATTGAATAACTTGTTAGTGACATATTTCTTTAATATTGATATCATATAATGATATTCATTGTTAAATATAAGCTCCTTATTAATTTAGTAATTTTAAACATTTGTGTAATTTTTACAAGTCTTCATCATAAAATTTGGAAATAACAAAGACCCAAGAAAACATTTTTATAGAAATTCCATTACTCAGTGATAACCGTATAGATAGATTTCTAAGATACATCTAACCACTTATATTTAAACTTCATAAGTGATATCATGTTATTGTTAATGTGCTTTTTATTGAATGTTAGTGACATGCTTCTTTAATATTGATATCATATAATGATATTCATCGTTAAATATAAGCTCCATATTAATTTAGTAATTTTAAACATTTGTATAATTTTTACAAGTCTTATGTAATTTTGTTGCTATGTTTTTCAGTAAAAAAGATAAGAAGAAGGAAAAGAAACCAACTGTCAGTGTATTTGCAATGGTGAGTTTTGAATTTATTTACATTTCAGAATACTTAGGAAATCTGACATATCCTTATACAGAAAAGAGAGATTTCAGGACCAGTAGTTAGCGTAATGGCTGTGTTGCTGAACTCCCATGTAGCCGACTGTGATTCGAGTCCCGGACCTGGTGGCTTAAAACTCACGCCAGGAGCGTGTGCATGCATGTCCAAGGTCCCAAGAGGAAAATGGAGAAGGGATTGTGGCATGGTCATCCCCCCCTTGGGGGGTGATTTCTCACTTTCTATCTCTCTGTCTCTCTATCTTTTTGGCAAGCGCATACGCCCTATTGCAAAAACCTTTCCAATAAAAGAAAAAAAGAAAAGAGATATTTCATCTGCTATACTATTTTCTTAAGGAACATGTCAGTAGTGTGGCAAAACAAATTGGTTGATTCAGCTTATTTTCAGGGAATGCCGTTCATAACTTGCCATGTGAATGGAGTCTCAGCAGTCACTTTTCCTGTCCTTGATTTCAATATGTTCCCAATTGGTTATGTTTCCAGTATGGTGTTTGCCATTTGGATAGAGGAAAGCAGCCACATGAGGGCTGTCTTTAATGATTGAAATCCTGACAGTTTTGAGGTCCAAGTCCCAGGCTCCCATCATAATGAAAGGTAGTAGGAGATTATTTATTACCAGGACTTAAACATGCCATTTTAACACTCTCCTAAATCTGCAATTTGAAAACCTTTGTCTGTCTATCTGTAATATATCTACCTATTTATGTCTTCATTTTCTGGCTGCAGAGTTGTCATTTAGAAGCTTTTTTTAAATCACACTTGAAATAAGACAGAAATTTTATGGTATGACTGGCTAATGATATTTATCTACCTATCCTTACTGCATTTCTAAAAGTGCAAACTTAGATGAACTGTTTAGGTGAGCTGTTCTAAGAACAACTAATTAACCAATTAGGTCTTTCTGCATGTACTTTATAATTATACTGAACATTTTTTTAAGTAGGAGCAGGAATAGATCTTAGTAAAATGAGTCTTAGTAAATTTGATATAAAAATAGTTGTAGGTAGGGAAAAAACAGTCACACAACTTGAAAAAAAAATCAATTACTTTATTTAAATTTGACCAGAAAGGCAGAGAGAGAGAGACATAGGGAAAGTGAGAATGCAAGATGGAAGATTCAGGATGCGAACCATAGTTGGCCATGTAGGAGTCCAGTGCCTTAACCACCACACCACTTACTGGCCTGGACACATAACCACCACACCACTTACCAGCCTGGTCACATGACTTTTATACTGAGGACTCTGGTTGTTTTAAGTGATCTTCATCTTGTGCTGCAATTGCTCTTGCTACATAGCTCCTCTTGTCTCTATTCTCTTCGTTATTTGGGGGATATATTTTAGTCATTCTTAGAAAGACTATTTGAATAACTGAGTGACAGTTTTTGATTGTTTTAGATTTCATTCTTATTTTCTTATGTGAAAAGTTTATATGTGCAAGTTAGATTTAGCCCTAAGATTTAATTTTGGTTCTGTCATTTTGACACCAAACCTTTTGTAGTTTACTTTTTGTTATTTGTAGTTCGCATTTTGTTTATTTATTATTTAGAGAGATTTTTGCCTTAGAGCATGTGTACTCACTGGAGAGAGACAGAGATGGTGAGAGGAAAAGGGAGAAATCACTCCCTCTGGTAGGATGACCATACCTCAGTCTCTTCTCCATTCTCCTCCCAGGATCTTTAACACATGCACACTCATCTGGCGTGATTTTCAAGCCACCAGGTTCAGGACTGAAATTGCAGTGGACCATATTGCAGTCCAGCCATGTAACTGCTACATTTTCTGCTTGCCCCCTGTGTTTTACATTTTAAAAAACTTATGTTTTAGACCTACTGTATAGCTGATAATACTATCAATATTCAACTCACAAGCCACAAATGAACAAAACTCTGGAATTTGAATGTGAGTTAATAACAATTTGTATGTGAGTTAATAACAGAGAGACAGAAAGCGAGAAATCACCCCCCCCGAGGGGATGGCCATGCCGCAATCCCTTCTCCTTCATTCTCCTCTAGGGATCTTGGGCACACACGCACACGTACCTGGCATGAGTTTAAGCCTCTGAGTCCCGGACTCGAACCTCAGTCGGCTACATGGGAGTCCAGCGACAGAGCCATTACGCTAACTACTGGTCCCAGAACCATTCTACTCTTGAGTTCTCTCTTGTCAGTTCCACTTACTAGTGTTGTAAGTTCCCTGTTAACTAACTGTAGAATCAATTTCTGCCTTCTTATGAAGTATCTTTAAGCTCTAAAGTCTTGCTTTCTGCTGCTGTGTCTTTTATGTTGTCTCATCTCTCATCTTTTTATGGTTTATATTTCCTGCCTAGTCCTGTGACTTCGCCCCGTTTCCTCTCTGAATTACAAGCCTATTGTCCACAGCTACCTTCATGGTGACCTTCATGGTCCTGCCATGGCAACTACCTACCTTGGGAATATTAACAGATTCTCACAGTTGGCTTCATCCTGTTTCTAGTTTTGTTTTCTCTCATTTGGTATTCTTTCAAGCTCATTTTGTTTCTTCAGTGATACAGTAGAACTGTTAATGGCTACACAGGTGGG